ACTTATACTCACCCTTATACCCACCAATGTGAGAAGACTATTTTTTTGCCTGTGAATCCCGTACACAAATAACAACTTCACAAACAAAAAAAGATATATTTTGACTATGAACGAGATTCGCAAACAAAAAAATAGCTTTCACACATTGATGGGTATAAAGGTAGGTACAACTCTACAAGGGTGGGTACAAACAAAATTTTTCTCTAAAAATAGAGAACTTCCCATAATTCTTGTGGCAACTAACGTGGTCTCATTATTTTAGCCCTACACAATTATATACATGTGCATCATGACAGACACAGGAACAATCAATGTCAAGTCATGTACTAACACTAGTTACGAAAATCTGTGTAGCAAGAATTAGATTTTTTTTCTTTAATTGTAAACTTACAGAGCGTATCTATTAGCTGATAAGCACAGACAAAATGAAGAATAGGAAATAAATTGATAGCAAATGAATAAGCATTTCATTATATTCATGTTGAGAAGCAAAATTAAAGGGAGGAATCCATTTTTCGTGGCCCTAAAGAGGAAAGAATAACGAAAATTCTTGACTTGACAATACCACCCATAGCTTTAATTTTGAGTTCAGATGCTTACATTCCATTCCCCAGAATTTCTACTTTGCTTCTCTGTCTCTCTTTCAATTTATTCTTCTTCTCCTACAAGGAATATCATTCCAATGCTACAACCAATCCTTGGTGTACATCTGTGGCTGCTAATGATTGACCAGTGCAGAAAAATGAGAGGATAGAAGAGAATAGTACTATTCTAATAAAAGCTAGCAACTATTCTACAAACCGTACGGACCCCAACAAAGGATAACTTATGTACTTCAATCTGCTGTCTAAATAAGGAAGCAGATAAAATAGGCTAAAGTGATGACTATAGCAAGTTTATTCCAAAAACAGTATAATCATAGTAAATAAAACAGGCTAAAAATCTTGAAGAAACCATCAAGAGCTTTATGACCATTAAGGAAAATACGGAGTACGTTTTAGCTTTCACAAAAGGTAAAACAGTCAAAAAGTAATATCTATTCTCTAACGCAATTTAATTGACTTTAACAAAACTTGGTGCTCATTGTATCATTCCTCACCTGCAGTTCACTCCTATCCACATGTCAACAGAACGGTTGGAGAATTCTGTTCCTACACTTCCTCTAAAGGCAGCAATTGATTCCTCCAAACTGCATAAAATATTCATAAGATATCACAACCAGTTTGTGTTCACCAAAAAGTTCAAATGGAACTAAGGCCTTTATTTTGTTCAAATCTAATAAGTTTTTCATCTCATAGCAAATTGAATACTGAAGTAAAAAGAAATCTTAAGATCAAATTAATCTCCACATGATTCTTTAGATATCAATAGACCATGAATAATTCCTTAAATAAATATTCAATATGTCCTTAACATGATGAGTATATTAGGTTTCAACTTGTAGTATCAGTGACCGTATGCAGACCTCTATCGCTGGGTATTAGAATTTATTCTGCATTAGTTGTTTATAATAATTTTTTATATTCAACACAAACCACATTAATATGCTCTTAGCTCTTTGCATTTATGCAAAACCTATAAAATTGAGTATGCATGGAATTTGACACATTTATCAAATTGATAGAGTCAAAATGAAGAGATCATCCTTCTAAAGCAATTTAACATAATTATAATACTTCCTCCGTTCTTTAATTCTTGCAACATTGTGATTTTTGCACTATTCACAGACCTTACTTTGACCACGATTTTCTACTAATATACATAATCAAATTATTACGTAGAAAATGTTATTAAATTCCTATCAATGTGAATTTCCAAAATGTCAAATTTTTATAATGTTTACTAATACATAATTAAATATAGTTACAGTCAAAGTTGTGCGTTGGCAAACGTGAAAGTCAAACGGTTGCAAGAATTAAAAAACGGAGGATAGTATAAAACATGCAACATGGTATTCTCTCAAAGAAATTTATACTCCCTCCATCCCCCAAAAAATCTGGTTTCATAAACTTTTATGGACAAATAAAAGAGACTAGTTTTACAACTTAACTTAAATTTTATGTAAAATTCCTGTAAAGCCATGCATTAAGCGATTTTAATCAATTACCATCGGGGAAATAAGTTTTATTAGTGCAAGTCCATTTATAACTAGTAAAAGGTTGTATGTGGATTTAATTACGCAAATAAAAAAGTTGTAAGTTAAAACCTCTTTTGGAGTTTTTTCAATCAATGACCCGAAAGATACATTATCTATCAATGAAGGACCCGAAAGAATAAGACTACCAATTAAGGGCTTGAATGATTGAAACTTGTCAATCTAAACTTGAACTATCACGAATTTTGATTTCACAATGAAGGACCCGAAAGAATAAGACTGTCAATTTAGGGCTTGAATGATTGAAACCTATCAATCTAAACTTGAACTATCATGAACTTTGATTTAATTAACTTTAAAAAAAAAAATTGTAAAATTTCAACGAATTTCCTTCATGGAATATATATATATGGAGTATATAATAATTAATTGATAATAAAATTACTTAAAATATATAAAATCAAAATTAATGATATGTTACGTCTTAGATTGGTAGTTTTCAATAACTAGGGACCTAAACTGATACTCTGTAGTTTTCATCTTCAAGGTCCTCCTTGATGGGTAGTGATAGCATATTCTGAGGGTCCTGGATTGAAAAATATTCATTATTTAGACAGCAGTATAAAAGAATTCAAGTCTTTGGATTTGATAGCACCAAACCGAAAATTCTGAAATCTTCTCACAAAATATATTGACAAAAAAATGAATTAGTAATTAAGTTTATCTCACAAGTCAAGAAAGTTAGATAAAAAAGGGTGATGTAATTCAGACATAGGGATGACCTACGGAATGGAAGCAAATATAAGAATTAAAATAAAAATGTCTAGCAATGATAGGTAGAATCATACTTTCCATCAAACACAAGTATGAAAAAGTAAAGTCCTTCAACTGAGTTCTCTGGAGGGGTCCCAACTCCCAATACCTATTCCATTAGAAGTAAAGTAATTTAACTGAGTTTACTGTCCGGAACAAGCAAGTACCTACCATGCTCACAGTTGGGTGAAAAGGAATGTATTCTATATTCTATTTCTATCCTTCAACTTAAGCTAGCGAAAAGCATCTTCATTCATTTTCTCAACTATAATATAGTAATTTGGTGGCAGATTATGACATAAAGAGTGTGCTAACTCATCAGATACATCATAATTTTAAATGATGGAATAAAGCAAAATGACTCATAAACTGTCTGCGCTTCTTTGTTATGAAGCTGCACTCAATCCATGTGATTTTGGACGCGATTTTCAGTATGGGTCATCTGGACATAGTCTCTCTATGCTTTAGTACAGGAGTAAGGCTACGTACATCCGACCCCCCTTACCCCACCATAGGTGGGAACCTTTGCGGCACTGGGGTAATGATGATGATGATACCGAAAGCAAGTGGGCACAAAGTCTAACTTTCCACGCACTATACCTGGAACTGAAGAACTAGTACCAATGTTGCAAGCATGAGCTTCATTCCTACACCATCTATGGAAACTATACGAAAGCTCCTAGCTTTAGGATAAGTAAATATCAAACAAATACCTGCTGGAGAATAGCACCGTAATAAGGGGTTGGGCAAGAAAATAGTTGGATTTTTGTGCCTGCCAAATTGGACTATACTGAAGCTAAAGATATGTTCCGTACTCAGCATCACCATTGCAACCTTAATCCCAAATATGTTGGGTAGGTAGTATGAAACTTACGGTACTATTTTATTATCTACAATTAGTTAATACTACAAGTTCATACAAAAAAAGTGGCAAACTTTTACATCAAATGTCTTTCCTGTTGCGACCTTCTTGACAAGGAAGAATACAATAAAGGTTTAAAAACAATAATTATCATTTGTTCTTTTTAAACCCAGTTTTAAGCCAAAGAATCGTAAAGATCCTTTGGGGTGAGGGCCAGGAAACACCCTACCTATTTATTAAATGAAAGATGAGTACAAAGAGTAGGAGGACTAGACCAAAGCCTACTCGAATTAAATTACATAAGGATAACTAATAGCATCAAACTTGAGAATTCCAACAAAATGCTTAAAATGAATTTCATTTGTGTTGATGGAAATGCTTTTTTGTAAGCCAAGTACTCGGCAGCTCTGTTGAAAAATATTATGAGATGGAAATGAGTTGACGTAATTGCTCTATATTGCCATTTTCCCCTACGAGATTGATATAGTGAAATCAACACACACATACCCTTCCCGGAGCATGACTGTTCAAGCTAAAATGTTGTTTTGTACTCTAAATCTATGGTATTATATTAGACCATGACTTGATAACCATGGTAAAGTATCTCTTATTCTCTTATTAAGGAAAGGACGCATTGAACTAATAATGATGAGCATCAATCAGGAGAAACATTTATGTACCGACTTTTACCACTTCCTTTTCTTATGTCTATATGACAGTTACTAGAACTAGATGCTTCAGTCAAAAGAATGTTATATACTCCGTAGGAAATATAAAATGAATTTGCAGGTCTCAACATTTAAGACATCATGAATAGTGGATTCCTTCCCTTAAAAAAATAATAAAATTTCAACTGTAATCTTGGGAATAAGGTTCCAAATATTTTTTCACGTAAGGAATACAAATGTGAAGAAAAAGCCTGTGGTGGATCTATTCTTGTACCATTTGTAAGGTTTCAAGTGTTTTGGACTCATATTGGAGAAACTTTAATGCTTATTGATGCAGCCTAATACATAGAGAGCATGTATACCATGGCCTACAGATGTGTACAAGCAACAAGGACAAGATCTCCTTTTGGTTTGCTGTGAAGATTGGATGGGGTGAAGCTGTGTAACCTTTGCATTGGGTCTGCACAAGATTCCATTCCTTACATGGACCCCTCCCACGGCCTATCCTCATATCTTTATAAATTCTCATTGAGCACAACTTTGTATTATGAAAAATCATCCAAGACATTAGAAACAGATAAGAGGTGTTGCAGAAGTTTTTTGGTAGAGCATCACAAATAATATACTTTGCAGAGTATAGAAGGCCCCACTATTCACAATTCAAGGGTGGGAACAGACTGCACAAGCAAACTATTATCCCTTTGCACCCTGCAGGTATATTTTGAAAAGTATTTATATAGCCCAGACCAGGCACTCATTTTTTTCCAACATGTCACTTACTTGCTAATTATCACATCGAAGACCAAATATGTATCAAGGAAGGAGTATACACACTTCCACAAGGATGTCAGTTCCTCCAGAAAGGCATTTATTCCTGCAAGGTGGGAATGGCCATGGAGACTCAAGACTTGTCCTTTCAACCGATGCCAAGCCAAGATTGAAGTGGACAACAGACCTCCATGAGCGGTTTATAGAAGCAGTTAATCAACTTGGTGGAGCAGACAGTAAGTGCAAGGAAATGAGTTCAATTTCAATAATCAGCAGAAGGGTGTTTCTCTTTCTTTCTTTCTTGCTGATGCCTCAACACAGAATTCCTTTGTTGCAGAAGCCACTCCAAAGTCTGTTTTGAAGCTAATGGGAATTCAGGGATTAACCTTATACCATTTGAAGAGTCATCTTCAGGTAAATAATTACCACCCCTACTTGATTAAATTTACAACACACATAGTTGTTCTTTCATATTCCAAACTTTTCAACCAAAGACAGCAAGTTACATTACATGCATGATATTGACATATGGGGCGGGGCAGGCTCCTTTTGTTACAAATATGCTCATGCATATTAATTTGAAGCTCAATAATTTGTTATAGTTAAAATACAATAATGATGATGTTGATAACGTTTTGCGTTTGGGTTGGCAGAAATACAGGCTAAGTAAGAATCTTCACCTGCAAGCTAATAGTGGATCCACTAAAACAAGTAATTCTATATTCTCTAATGAACTTATCTGCATTATATCTCAATGAGAACATACAAAACCAAATTGATGAGTTTGCAAATGAATGCAGCAATAGGAGGAGGCTCAGGCGAAGACAAGATATTGGATGCAAATGAAAATCATGTCAATAATGTGAGCAGTGGGCCCCAAATAAATAAGTAAGAATATAATACATTATATAATGTTCATTTACATTTCTGACAAGTGTAACACCTTAATATGAAAAAACTTCAATGGAGGCTGTTCTGAGCAACACATTTTATTACTCAGAAACATACACATAAGTGAAGCCATACGGATGCAAATTGAAGTCCAACGAAGGTTACATGAACAGCTTGAGGTAAATATAAAAAAACCGGAACCACAATTTTTAGTTTTCGTAGCATTGAGTTTTGAAACTGCTGCAAAACACCATGTTCTTATTTCATATCTTTATTTTAATGCTCAACAAAGATACGTTTACTCCGTTTTGAATAATATATCCAATTGAATTGACATAGGTACAACGACATTTACAGCTTCGGATAGAGGCTCAAGGAAAATACTTACAGGCTGTTCTGGAGAAAGCACAAGAAACCATTGGGAGACAGAACTTGGGAATAGATGCAGCCAGGGTTCAGCTCTCAGAGCTAGCATCCAATGGGCCCAACGAACGCCTTAACTTGGCATTTCAAGAAGCTAAAGAATTACCGGGGTTTAGCCGACCTCAAGTACGAGCAACCCAACCAACAGATTGTTCACTAGACAGCTGTTTGACCTCCTGTGAAGGATCTTCCAGAGAGCATGAAATGCACCATAATCAGCTGGGATTGGGGCCTTTAAACTTCAGATCGTACATGGAGTCTAAGGAAACTGAAAATGAAACGAGGAGACCGCAAACCCAACTGACGTGGAGCAATGACCCGAAAGAAACCCGGAACCTCACTCCCATAATGGATGAAGCTGTTGAAACCAAGTGCAGTAACCTATCAATGAGCATCGGGCTTCGAGAAGGAAGATGGAATTGCAAGAACAGCTACAAGTCCGATGCCGCCGCAACTGCAGATGCTGGTGCCAAACTCTGCTCGCGGTCAGCTGAGAGATACGAATCAACTAAAACCGAGAAACAGAGGATGCCACAGGAGTATAAACAGCTCAATTTAGGATCAAAACTGGACCTGAACACAGACGATGAAGTCGATGTTGCTTCATGTTGCAAACAATTTGACCTAAATGGGTTGTGTTGGAGCTAAGCGGCACCTTTTCCACGAAATGGAGAAAACCCTAGATAGTGTTCTCGTTTAAGAGATCAATCAATAATGTATTTCAATTCAATACTAGCCCATCTGATAGAATCGAATTACGCTGTAGTTCGTTACTGAGAACAACTCGAGGTATCCCATTTTCGACCAAAGTACCAAAGATTTAACTGAAACTGAAGAAAACACGACAACACTACAACTGAAATTTAATCCTTCCATCTTTAATCGCTCAAACTTTCGGAACAGGAATATGCGGTGCAATGAATAACGATCGTTTACCTTCGGTCTAATTGAGTTGGTCCCCGATATCGATCAACTCGAACGAGAGGTGCTCACTCTTCTGGGCGCTAATCAAATGACGAGCATCGCCACGCTTTGCGCAGTGCAGCAGCATACGGACCTGATGTTCAGTTTTGACAGCCATGCACGTATGCAGATCCTACAGGATAAAACTGTTCAAAGTGCTGTTTAAAAACCCGTTAACTCTTTGCTCATACCAAACCCGGATTCCTTCATTAAGGAATATAAAAGGCAATGGTTGATTCCATCCCTAGACCTGAAATTCAATATACAGCCTTCCGACCATCTCACCAACTCAAGGCAATCGTTCTTTTATGTTACTTATCCGATCCTACGTATTTCATACTCCATACTACAATTGTTTATTAATAGTAATTATAATATTAACTATTCTTTGCTTTTGCTCATTATTACCATATTTAAAGACTAATTCATATTTTTGAAGTACTTATTTGATCTAGGAATCATACTATTAATTTATATAAATGTATTTATAATTTTATTATATATTGGTAGGTTCCTAATAAGTCTGATGTTCATCGAAAGTGTTGTAATGCTCATAATAGATCTGATTCACATTAAAAGTTCATTAATGTTCATTTAACAGAAATTGTGATTTTCATTCTAATAGATGAGGTTATATGCTCAATCATTTCAATAGATGAGCTTTGATGCTCAATGAAATATGTTGTTATGTCATACAAACAAACTTTGCGATTTTCATATCAACGAACATTTTGTAAGTTACGTATGCTCATCTGGTACTGATCTTATGCTCATTTTCTAAATGTCATATCAATGCATTTGCTTTAAAGTACTATTTTACATTAGGTTCACATATTGAAATTCATAGGAGTTGATTAGAAATATAATTTAATAAGTTTTTATAGAAGGAAAAATAACAAAAAGAAAGTGAATTAGAAGTTATGAAACGGAGATCACGATTCTGAATATTAGACTTCTAATATTCAACACAATGGGTCTGATGCTCATTCACCAGAAACCGTGATTATCATCTCAATAGCGAAGATTTGATGCTCAATTAAAAAGTCTTGATAATCAACTAACCATTCTTGCGATTTTCATATCAATGTGCACTTTGTAAGTTATGTATGCTCATTTGGTAGCGATGTTATGCTCATTTTAAAAATGTCATATCAATGCATATTTCAAAAATATCATATGAGCAAATTAAACTTACCAAATGCGCATTGATATGAAAATTACCAGATTTGTTATTTGAGTATCACGGCACTTTCATTGAGCATCAAATCTTCTCTCTTGAGATGAAAATCATAGTTTCTGTTAAATGAACATGTATTAACTTTTAATGAGCATCAAACCTATTTTGTTGAGTATTATGAGTCTAATGTTGAACATCATGATATCTGCTTCATAACATTGTAAAAATGAGCATAACATGAGTACCAAATGAGCATACATAACTTACAAAGTGCACGTTGATATGAAAATGTAAGGTTTGTTAGTTGAACATCATGACATTTTAATTGAGCATCCAACCTCCACTATTGAAATGAAAATCACGAGAAAATCACGACTTCTGGAGAATAAATAATAATGAACATTTAATGAGTATCAGACCTATTCTGTTGAGTATTAGGAGTCTAATATTCAGAATCGTGATATCTGCTTCATAACTTCTAATTCACTTTTTTTATCGTAAGGTTTGTTAGTTGAACATCACGACATTTCAATTGAGCATCAAACATCCGCGACTGAGATGAAAATCACGGTTTCTTGTGAATGAGTATTGATGAACTTTTACTGAGCATCAAATCTATTATGTTGAGCATTAGGAGTATAATATACTCCCTCAGTCCCAAATTGTAAGATACATCTACTATTCACTTGGTCAACACAAATCACTCTTAATTTTATACTTTGTATATCAAAGGCTTATGAAATTTGAATTATTTTTTGCAGCTTTTGTAGCGGTTTTAATGTACTTTTCTGAATATGTAAATTTTATTTTCTAAAACTAATTTGAGTGTTGACAGGGATCAATTTGCTTTATCGTCGGTCAAACATCGTAAACCGTAAAGTATCTTACAAATTGGAACGGAGGGAGTAAAATACTCCGTAGTACTTCTAAAAAATGTATTGATATGACATTTATAAAATGAGCATAGTATCAAACCTTGTCTATTTAGATGGATGAAAATCATGATTTCTATTAAATGAGCATTAATGAATTTTTAATGAGCATCGGACCTTTAGAAATGAGCATATGTGAATTATATCATTTAGAAAATGAGTATAAGATGAGTACCAGATGAGCATAGTAACTTACAAAATGCGCATTGATGTGAAGATCATAAGATTTTTTAGTGAAATATCACGACATTTTAATTGAGCATCAAACCTCCTCTATTGAGATCAATGAACATTAATGAATTTTTAATGAGCATCAGACCTATACAAATGAGCATTCGTAACTTACAAGATGATCATTGATATGAAAATGGTATGTTTTGTTTGTTGAACATCAAGATATTTTCAGTGAGCATCGAACCTCCGTTATTGGGTACAAGAATCATGCAATTGAGTATCGTGGTTTGTGGTCTCGTGTCTATAATAAAATTCTATGTGAATCTAATGTAATATGAGACTTTTGAAATATGCATGGATAAACATTTTAAAATGAGCATAACAAATGTACTAAATGAACATACATAACTTACAAAATGAGTTTTCAAAAATTGAAATGTTCATTTGTATATATTTATTCCTTTTAGACGCTATAATTATTTGAATTTAAAATAAAGAAAAAAAAGAAAAAAGACAAAAAAGTAAACTAACTAAAGTAAATTAACTAAAGTAAAAGTAACGAAAAAGTAAAATAAAAGAAACGAAAAGAAAAAAAGAGAGGAGAAAAAAAAAGTAACGACAAAGTAAAATAAAAAAGACAAAACAAATATAAAACGAACTAGGATGACGGGATGGATGCTAAAAATGAAAAAGAATGGCGGCTGAAATAAATAAAAGCAACGGGGAGTGAGGGAATGAGGATGACAGCAGAAGAAGAATCAGGAATAGAGCATGAATGAGAGAATCAGTCTGCCACGTCATTTAAAACCCGGGTGTACATGTTTACCCGGGTGTATAGTATAATTTACCGACTTTTCCGAAAAGAAAATCGCCTATTGATTAATGATTATAATCCGGTGATGGTTACATCTTTCGGCCGCTACTTATAATCCTAGGATTAGACATGGAGACAGTCATTCCTAAAGTAGAAATATGAATCGCTAACCACCAAACGGGCTTAATACAGCTATTCTTGAATAAATAGATATGCCCCCACTAACCATCCCAAATCTAGCCAAAACCTCGGTCATTGTAATAAACCTAGGGGGATGTATTGAATATAGATTGTGGTGAACTTTTTTTAATCTGTGGACTTTTAAAAAAGTCAATGGACTTTTAAATCCATATACTTTTTTATGAATGAATTCTATGGACTTTTAAATCCATGGATAAGTTTATTGACTTTCAAAAAGCTCATAGACTTTTAAATACGGACCACCACTGCTGGTCATCAAAATTTTAACCTAGAACGCCGCTACCGATCTGCCCGTCCGCCTCCGTTACTTGAGTTCCCCGTTGTCATCATCAGACTGATCCGCCACCAACAAAGTCAATTTGGTTATGCAAGGGAATTAGGGACAATTACTTATATTAATTAATTAAATTAGGGATGAATATGTAATATTTAGTCCTATTTAAGGAAAATCAAACATATGATCATACTTTAAGAAGAATGCTACTCCGTATGTTTTAGTCCTACACTGAGTAATTTCCTCTGTATAATACAGAGTATGATAAGAAACAAACAAACAAACAAATAAACGAACAAACAAACAAATAAATAAATAAATGAAACAAATGTAATTCATATAGCAACACAAAGTTCTACAAGAATAAATGAGGCATAAGAATCCAAGTTTATTTTTATTAAAAAAACTCAAAGTTTTAAGAATGCTCAAGAATTTTGGTCATTTTATTAATTAGTAAGAACATTATTCGTTACACAACCTTTACACTCATTGCTACATGTGGTACAAGCATAGTTGCAATCAAGTTTTTCTTCTTAATAATTGTTTTCTTTTCATTTCTATCTTGTAAAGTTTTGTGTACTTATTTACGGTTATATATTTATTAATTTGAAATTATTTTTTTATGTGTTAGCAATTTAACGATGAAAGAAAGTAATAGTTAAAATATTTATTTTCTTAATGGTTAAGTGACGACGTATCAGAATTGCACTGATGTAATATTATCGATTCTTATACCAGTTCTTCTAGAAACTTCTAGAATCGAACCAGTATGAGGCAAGCTGAAGAAGAAAAAGAACAAAAGGAGAGGGGTGGGGCGAGCTGGACTGAAGAAGAAGAAGAAAGATCGAAGGGGAAAGGGTGACTTGTCTAAAGAAGAGGAGAGTTGGGTGGGGTGGGGGGACGGGATGAAGAACCGATATAAGAAAAAACCACGTGAATCTTTAGTGAGAAGAAGAGACAATCGAAGAGAATTGATGTACTAAAAATGAGTTAAAAGTCCACGAGAATCCATGATTTTAGAAATCCATAAGAATGAACGGAACTTTGAATATGCATAGACTTTTATAGACTTTTAAAAGTCTACATTGAATACACCTAGACTTTTGTAGACTTTTAAAAGTCCACATTGAATACACCTAAACTTTTAAAATTCATGGATTTTTAAAATTTTGCCACTAATTCATAGTACCATGAACTTTAACCAAGGTGACGGGACGAACGGGTCTGGTTTTGGTTGTTCATGGTGATGGAAGGTGGGGTCGGAGGTCAACGGTTTTGAACCTCAAACAAGGAGATTGTGATGTTCTGTTCCCATGGTTTGCAGGTTTTGCTAAGTCCTAGGTCGCCGGAAGACAGAGCTCGCCGGAAATACTCCTTCTCCGGCTCAAAAACGGTTAGTAATCATGGCTTCATTTGGGGGATGAAAGGATGATGAACGAGTTGGGTTGGCTTGGAGATTGTGGCGTTGATAGTGGGTCTTAGTCTGAAGGTTTTGATCGTAGGTAGACCTATACAAAATCGGGCCGGCCCGCCCGACCCGCCCAACTCGTCCGCACAAATAGACGGGCTTGGGCATATATATTAACCCACCGGCCCGGCCCGGGCCCGACCCACAATAAGATATGGGCGGGCCTGTGTTAGGGTGTAGGCCCATTCGGGCCGATAAGCCCGAACCGTTACATTTAGTATATATAAATATATGTATTTATATATATACTAATTTATTTATTTATTTACATATACACATGTACATTTATATTTACTATTTTTT